CTTTTTGAGTTATATGTTTCAGCACATGTATAATTAACCCCAACTTAACCTGGTAAACTTGTTGTCTCCTTGTGAAATATAAAACATATTAAAAATGTTTTCCTGCTAAAGTCTTTTATTGATATAAAGTTAAAACCTTCTTGCTTCTCACTAGACAACACTCCTGTCCTGTCAGGTTTAATTCTTATATATGTGGATGAAAAATAAAAGTCCCCAAAACATTAACATGGCAGCAATTGCTTTTACAGCCTTCAAGGCTTTGATTTTTTTACAGAAGAGTGTCCACCATGCACTTACACTGCACTATAATAATAGTAGAATAGAATGATATACAAATAGATGAAAATTATATATACATGCAAACGTAATATTAATATAATATATAACAACAAACCAGTGTATTCTCTGGGACTATTATTATATCAGTATAATAGTCCAAGGTATACTGATTTGTATCACTACAATATAATAGTTATTACGGTGAGGTTGAATTACCTGTCATTTATTCATCATCCAAGCACGAACTTGTATCAGAAATAAATATCTCTGTAAATTAACCTCAGTTTCAGGTATAGAGATGTGATCTGTTTCTGTGACATGTGCTTTTGACCATCCACAAGAACCTGCGGTCATCCGATGTTCAGTACTTCAGTACTTTGATTGATTTTATTATCAAGGGGTAGTTCCGTATTTGTTACTTGCGCATTTGAAACTTATCGTACGACAATCAAATTTTAGCAGGTGCGGGTATGCAGCTGCGTCCAGTCGAATTGGGCGTGAAGAGAGAGTGCCACGCTCTCTGCACGTTAAGAATTCCGGCAACAACTCGTTGGTTGCCTGTTGCAAGACAAAATTTCTGTCCCTATCCAATATATCCTCATTTTTCAGTGACGATCTAAAGTTTGTCGACCTTCATCTTGAACGGATTCTCATACAGGACCTTCCTTTTGTATATATTGTTAATTTGATATCGTCCTGAATGTGCATGAAATATTTTCCACTGGACGTTAAGCAGCCAGTAATCAATCATTTAAAATAAGCCGTTTATATATACATTACAAAGAAACTTAGACTCCCAATAAATAATAAATTTACAGTAACAAAAACATTAATCCGCACATGTACTATTTCCCGTTGACAAAAACATTTGAAGTGAATGGAATATCCGATAAAAAAAAAAAAAAAAATAACACTTGACAGCATACTTCCGAAGCGCTTTTCTATATTTACCTACATCCCGAACGATCAAAGCTTAATATTTGAAAGCCAGGGATATATAAGAACCGAAACAATTGAAGAGGTGTATGGCCAAAAGGGACATTAAAGATAGCAAAATCCTTCTAAGGTCAACTTTGCCTGAGGGAGTTGAAACCTTAGTTTCTTTATAATTTATATATATATGGCCTAAATGATTGATAACTGGTTGCTAAACTTCCAGTTGCAAATATTTCATGCATGTTCAAGGCTATAATATCAAATTATCAATAAATACAATAGGAAAGTACTGTAATAGAATCCGTTCAGGACGAAGGTCGATATACTTAAGATCGCCACTGGAAAATGAGGGTATATTGGATAGGGACAGAAATTTTGTCTTGCAACAGGCAACCAACGAGTTGTTGCAGGGGTTCTTAACGTGCAGAGATCGTGGCACTCTCACTACACGCCCCATTCTGACTGGACGTAGCTGCATACTTGTACTTTGCTCAAAGTTGATTGTCGTACGATAAGTTTCAAATGCGCAAATAACAAATACGGAACTATCCCTTAATAAAAAAATCAAATATTCCGTTTCTTTTTATTCGTTATTTGAATCGGAGGTGGATTTAGGGAGACAAGGAGCCCACCAACCCTTAATAGAGCTACATATTTGACAATGCATATATTTTTTACAAGCATCAGTCCAAACTTTGGCTAACTAGGCCCCACCTTTTCAAATTCCTGGATCCGGGCCTGAAAATGTACCATTATTGAAGCCGTCGTGGAGCTATCCAAGTCAAATATACAGAAAAGACAAATAATTTCTGCTTGCTGTTCATTTATTTAGAGAATCAAAGTGTGTCAAAATCAGGTCTAACTAATTAATTTTTCGACTTAAAGAATCATATTTATAATTTTCATCCTGTAGATTAAGCAAGTTAGACTCTTGTTTTATATTATATTCAGTTTTTCAGAAAATATTGTTTTCGTTTTGATTTGGGTTTGTAAATATCATTTCGTTTCGTTCCGTTCTTATTCCGTTTCGCACTTGTAACAGGTATCCACTTTTTAGTCCTTTCCCCTTAAAATCAAAAATCAAAACATTCAAACTTTCAAAAAGCGAAATGATCATAACTACTTACGTTCAGTTTAGTATTTTTAAAGTTTGCTTAAATATCTAAACTTTTAAATTTTAAAACAAAGTTTATAATTTTCAAATTTTAATTATTTGATGAAATTTTCAAATTTAAAAAAAAAATTGATATTTTAAAACTTTGATCAAAAATCCAAAAAACTAAAATTTTAAAACCTTTTCGAAATTTTTAATTAATAAGTGTTACACTAGAGTTACACGGACCTTGTGTCTATAATTAAGACTTTAGTATGCACTGGGAAAAAACGAAACTGAAGGACTTTATTTATTACATAATTTTTAATTTGGGTTTCAATGACGAATTCTATTTTGTCTAAAATTAAGGAAGCATTTGGAAATAAAACCGAACCTGACGGACATTATTTTATTACATAATATTTTCTAATTTGGGTTTAAAATATCGAATTTTATTTTGTCTAAAATTAATTATGGCTTTGTGAAAAACGAACCTGAAGGACATTATTTTAATACATAATTCTTTGTTTCGGTTTCAATGGACTTTTTTACTTCATTTCCGTGATTACAAAGTGTAATCTTTTGCCAAATGACATTTAATTTTATGAATTAGAAAAATTGTGGGTGTGGCATAAATGTTTAATCTGAAGGTAAATCCATACCATTTGTATCTACTGGACTGAGACATGAGTCCACAATGCCAGCTATTTAATGACTGTAAAAATACATTGATCAGGTGAATTTAATACAGTTTAAAAAACTATGACGAGCCAGTTATATTTATAAGCACAAAATCAGAGTTATACAAATATTACGTGACTAAAAAAGATGTCACATTCTTTTGTATTGATAACAAATTGTAAGGTCTGAATTAATCATATATTAAATAATTAAAAAAAAAAGAACATTTTTCCGCATTTCAAATTCGTTAAAAAGCGAATGATTAGATCATCTAATAAGATTTTCATTACCATTCAAAACTCCATAAATAATGTATATAAAAATATGAAGATGTGGTATGATCCATTGCCAATGAGATAAATATCCACAGTTCAAATGATGTGAATGTAACCAATTATAGGCAACCGTACGGCCTTCAACAATGAGAAAAACCAACACCGCATAGTCGGCTGTAAAAGACACCGACATGAAAAGTATGAAACAATTCAATTGAGAAAATGACACATGCACATTTTAAAGTAAACTTCTATTTGAAAGTCCAAAAGATTCGCAAACTTACTCACATAAACCTCTCTATTTTTTCAAATTTTATGGATTTACTTTTTATACTACTGATTGAGATTAACACACACACTCCACCTACACACGCTATCTTGTTTTGCTAAACAAAATAAAAAATATATTATACTTTAATTATTTTGATATGATTCCGTACATCGTTGTCAAAAGTTACAAAAACGAAAATATTTGAAAGATTATTTTGACACCTCTTCTGAGTGGAATGCTTAAATCAATCTTTCTATTTATTTCCTTGTGAACGTTAATCAGTTGAGTTTTCCAGATGACCTCATCCATTTCTTTACTAATATACTGGAATGTTTTTTATTTCCCCTATTTTCACCATTGAAGCACACTATTTTGTTCACTTCACTTCTGAAACAAATTACCTTTTTTTACTGATTTGATTTGATTGGTTGGTGTTTAATGCCACTTTCAACATTATTGTGCTATTTCGTGGATGTCAGTTTTTATTGGTGGAGGAAGCCAGAGAGAACTACCGACCTTCGGTAGGAAAACTGACAATCCTAGTAAATTAAGATATGAGTCGAGTGCACCTGCCCTGTGCGAGAATTCGAATTCACAACCTCAGTGTTGACAGGCTAGTGATACAGTAGTTTGACCACTTAGACCACTCGGCCACCGAGGCCCCTTTTTTTAACTGAAATTCAGTATATATAATAAAAAAAAAACCTGTGGGGGAGTGTGGTACCAGATGTCATACGCTTTTGTTTATATATAATCAACTTTAAACCCTTATTTTACTTAATGACATCCTCAAATTCATTTGGAAAATAAGATAGACTTCACTTCACAACAGCTCTTTAACAAAACGAATTCCGTATCATTGGTATCTAGTCCGTTTTGTTAGAGTAACTGCGGATACGTTTTTGTCTAGTTAAAGTCCATATGTCTGCTACATGTATGGTACATTTTTAAACAATAGAAATAACGTAAAAACAAATAGGAAGAAAAATTTTGATAGAAATTATTACAGATCTTCGAGAGAAAAAAAATCAGTTACAATCCAGACCCTGATTTAAAAAGAGCTGCGTACACGAGAATCGATTACTGATTAAACGAACGAGCAGACAAAAAAATCACTAGTACATTTGTACATTGTACCTTACTGCCTCAGCAAGGTGGACATAAAAACCATTGATTGAGTTTAATGAATAGAGGATAATGAATAAAAATAATAATATACATAGGAAAATGGGTCACAAATAAAAAGAAATACGGACCAAGGGGGTGTTAAAAAATAAAGAATAGAGAAAATGGGTCACTAATAAAAAGAAAGAGATCAAGGGGGTGTTAAAAAATTAAGAATAGAGAAGATATGTCAAAAAATAAGAAAATAGATAAAAATTGCCGAAAACTAAATAATACAGAAAACTCCATATTCGGCACCCATGCAACAGTCTAGTCAGCAATTCATAGTACAATATATTACCGTCAACATCGTATAAGTCAAACAGGAACTTCAGCCTCTGTGACGGTGTCCCTTTTGTTACTTTCATAAGAGGTGATGTCAGGTTCAATATATCTGTAGTCCCACTGTTGTTGGAATCACATAAAGCAAAAAAACGTTCCGCGAAGAAACACTACAAATGAAAAACACATTGAATAAACTTTTAATTGACACACTGATAAACTTTTAATTGACACACTGATAAGCTTTTAATTGACACACTGATAAACTTTTAATTGACACCTTGATAAACTTTTGGTTGACACACTGATAAACTTTTAATTGACAGCTTGATAAACTTTTAGTTGACAACTTGATAAACTTTTGGTTGACACACTGATAAACTTTTGGTTGACACACTGATAAACTTTTAATTGACACCTTTATAAACTTTTGATTGACACCTTGATAAACTTTTGCTTGACACACTTATAAACTTTTAATTAACACCTTGATAAACTTTTAATTGACATCTTGATAAATTTTAATTGACACTTTTATAAACTTTTAATTGACACCTTTGTAAACTTTTGATTGACACCTTGATAAACTCATGCTTGACACACTTATAAACTTTTAATTGACACACCGATAAACTTTTAATTGACACCTTGATAAACTTTTAGTTGACACCTTGATAAACTTTTGGTCAAGGTCAATTACGATCTGGTGAAGTGGAGACCAATTTAAAGTCATGTATTTCTATTCCTTGCTAGTGAAGCATGGATATTCGATTTTTTTAAATCGATATAACACTGCTTTCGAAAAACCATTACAAATTTAAATTGCATTGCTTATCCTTCCGGAGCACCTGAGATCACCCCGGTTTTTTGGTGGGATTCGTGTCGGTCAGTCTTTAGTTTTCTATGTTGTGTTTTGTATACTGTTGTTTGTCTTTTCATCGTTAATCGTTTGGTTTTTGCAATGACATTGTCGGTTAGTTTTCGACTTATAATATAAATAAGAAGATGTGGTATGAGTGCCAATGAGACAACTTTCCATCCAAGTCACAATGTCTAAAAAGATAACAATTATAGGTCAAAGTACGGCCTTCAGCACGAAGCCTTGGATCACACCGAACAGCAAGCTATAAAGGGCCCCAAAATGACTAGTGTAAAACAATTCAAACAGGAAAACCAACGGCCTAATCTATATAAAAAACGAGAAACACCTATGAACCACACCAACAAACGACAACCACTTAACAACAGGCTCCTGACTTTGAATATCCCTTTGGTATCTTTCGGCTCTCTTTTATAATTGAATAAGATATCAGCACACGTGATTGTCCGATATTTCTGGTTCCATTTATGATATATTTGAAAGGTGTTTTAAAGAGTTATGTGTCTTTCGTGAAACACATATCAAACAATTACTAACATGTTTTTTTACTCGTTTATTTTTCATATATAATATTAAATGAGTATAAAATTAAAATAAAAAAAAAATACCGAACTCCAAGGAAAATTCAAATCGGAAAGTCCCTTATCAAATGGCAAAACCAAAAGCTCAAACACATCAAACGAATGGAAAACAACTTTTATATTCCTGACTTGGTACAGGTATTTTCTTTATGTAGAAAATGTCGGATCAAACCTGGTTTTATAGCTAGCCAAACCTCTCACTTGAACGACAGTCGCATAAAATTTCATTATATTGAAAACAATGTGTGAACAAAACAAACAGACATAATAGGTAAAAATTTCATAAATAGGGGTACAGCGGTCAACATAATGTTATAATCTTAATCACTATAAAAACAAACAAATATGTCAACAAAGAAAAACAAAACGACATATAGACAAAGATATTGAAAACATTCAATTGTTCAATAATGAACAGAATAAATTTTGCAAAGTTGTAAGATTAATAAAACATGAATAACTGGTTACAGGTAAAACAAAACAAACAAGTGAAACTGCGAGCTACTGCTCACTGATGATACCGCCGCAACTGGATAATTTTAATAGTGTAAAAATATGCAAGTGTTCGGTAAACATGCAGGAAGTTGTTGAGTGATGAATCTGAAAACGCATCACACGGTATACATGTAGCTGACTTATATAAACCCTGAAACAGAAATCCTTATGATGTAGTTCCTGAGAAAGATGCGACGAAATATATTCATGGGACGGATAAACGGACGGACTGCACGACGGACGGACGGACGGAGGTAAAACAGTATACCCCACTTTTTTAAAGCGGGGGTATACAAATTACAAGCATAAACTACCATAACTTAAAAAACAAAAACAAAAACAAACCATTAGAACATGTGTCTGTCTCGTCATGAGCTTGTAAATCAGTGGTTGTCGTTTGTTGTTGTATATCACGTTTGTTTGTCTTTTATTGTATTTCATATAAAGTAGGCCGTTAGTTTTTCGTTTGGATTGTTTTAAATTTGTCGTGTCGGAGCCTTTTATAGCTTGCAATGTGGTATTGGGTTTGTTCATTGTTGAAGGCTGTATGGTGGCCTATATTTGCTAACATTTAGTATATTTGACTTGTTTTACTTTTTTGATTCGACCGTCACTGATGAGTCTTTTGTAGACGAAACGCGTGTTTGACGTACATAATTTTAATCCTGGTATCTATGATGAGTTTATTTACGTCATTTTGGTTTCTGGTACAAAGTTGTCTCGTAAACAATCATACCACATCTTATTTTTTATTTTGATATAAATACATGGCGGTCAAATGTTTCTAAGTCTTGAAAATTGAGCACATATACAATTCTAGTAGTTTTATCTTTACTTGGTGCATTTATTATTTAAAACAACCCAATTACAATATTGGACGGTGTATGTCTATTTCTGTATTATGTTTTAAATCTTTTTTTTTTTGCTGTAGGTGATTAGACGGTGGCTTTCGAGAGGAAAATCGCGCCCTTTATTTACAAACTAGTTGTTTTACTATAGAAAAGTTCTAAACAAAAATTGTTTTAAAGATTTGCCCTTTTAACTTGCGGCAGATTATTTTATATTTGATTATTACCTGTTTTAGTCCAATAGCATTTTTAAACTGCTGTAAAGTGATTTCGCTTTTGTTTCCAGCAATTTTCTTTAATTGCGATTCCATCCATGTTAACCATTTTGTTTCCTCTTCTCTGTAAATTAAAGCATCGACTTATTTGGCTGTCAATATTACTTAATGGAGAGTTGTCTCATTGGCACGCATACCACATCTTCTTATCTATATAGTCAGCTCTTATTTGCTAAACTTAGTTTAGCATTAAATAATTACGCTTTGTATGAATCTGGTAGAAATTTAGAAGGGACAACTACTTTGAAAAGAGCGCCGTACTAGTGAATTGCATCTAAAATTTAAAAAAAAGTCTGCAAAATCTATAGATTGATATCCTATTTTTTACTAGATGTTCATGCATGCAAAATTAACGTTCAAAGACAAAATAAACTTATGACGTTTACCTTAACTTAAGTGTCGTATGCCATCAACATAATTGACGGAAATAGACTAGCGGTGTTTACCTGAAGTATCGAAAGTTATCAAGATAATTGACAGAAACAAACCAACGATGTTTACTTAATCTGAAAGTCGTTTGCCACCGACATAATTGACGGAAAAAACTAGCGGTGTTTTAATTTACCTTAAGTATCGAAAGTTATAAAGATAATTGACAAGAATAAACCAACGATGTTTACCTTTACTTAAGTATCATATGCCATCAAAAGAAATTGACAGAATTAAACTATCGATGTTTATCTATAGTATCGTATGTCGCAAAATTACAAATTGAGAGCCCTCTCCGATTCCTTGCTAGCAAATCTCAACCCCTCGTCAAAGAAAGAAAAAAATGGACGTACAATCAGAATATACATTTCCAAATACAAAGCTCAAACTATCGGCATATATGAGGATATGGGTGGGGTTTACAGAATAGAGCATAATGGTCAAATAATAGAATATTTAGAGAGAAATGACACAAACAAATAAAGAATAGAGCATAATTATAGGATGCAAGAGTATAAAAAATAACTGTGGAAAATAAATGAATTAGGCAATACAATACTGATAACAGATATAAACAAAATACAAAATATTCCTTTAACTTGTTATACTATTTACACTTACACGCTGTCGAAATAAACTTCTTTCCATGGATTGTCCTTGCTGAAAAAAGACAAGTCATAATTAAAGATGTACTTTATTTAAAATAGATTTTGTACATGTACTTTCCTTTTTATTTTGATAATGTTAAATAAATGGGTTCATGGACTGCTAGTTTGCATATCAGTTACGATTGCCAAATTTTAAGCTCTCATATTAAATTCGCCGTTTTCAAATCCTAAGCATTTTGAGTATTTTTTTTTTTTCAAAAGCCTACACCAAAACATTATGATTGGTTATGAAACGGCGAATTACCTATTGTATACATGAACACAGGTCTTTGTAGTTACCTGTGTGCTGGACTTTGCTTAGGGGAGAGGAGAGAAGACTTCAGTGGTCTTGTAATCGACTGTAATATGGGCTTCCGCTTCCGGTCAAACCAAAGACTCTTTAATTTGTATTGGTGTTATGTTGTCTTTTCGAATTTTCAGATTTTGATTACAATCATCCGTGTTTGTTATTGAAGGTTCAATTGTTACAGTAATCGATCATTATATATCGATGTATCGATTGTTACAGTAACAATCATTATATATCGATGTATCGATTGTTACAGTAAATTGTCATTATGCATCGATGTATCGATTGTTACAGTAAAAGATCATTATATATCGTTGTATCGATTGTTACAGTAAACTATCATTATATATCGATGTATTGATTGTTACAGTAAACGATCATTATGTATTGATTGTTACAGTAAACGATCATTATATATCGATGTATTGATTGTTACAGTAAACGATCATTATATATCGATGTATTGATTATTACAGTAATCGATCATAATATATCGATGTATAAGATGAAATAATTTTGGATACGATTATCTACTAAATATTGTAATCACTTGGTGCTTCAAAGATGACCACTTACTTACAACCACATTCTTTAAGAAATTTAAATACATTTTATAATCTATTGCGAAACAATACTCCAAACATCCAATACAAGTCTAAAAAAGGCGCAAATCTGAATTTTGTGTATTAGTATATTATTTTCGATCCACAGACTTACAGGGATTGCACAATTAACTCTTTGCCATGACATGTTTTTTGACAATTTTTGCCATAACTTAGTCTAAAGAAAAATATTGGTCAACCATGGTTTTTATATAAAGAGATATTTTTACATCAGGGCTCTAATTGTCACTGAAGCGATTTACTGTAAAATGTATTTGAATTAAACCACCCAAAATATTAACAGAAATAGAAAGTTTCTTTCATCGAGATACATAAAAATTTATGTTTACATATACATGTATTTTCACACTAATTTTGATTTTCCCATTACTCATTTTGAATATCTTTGATCCATTAAAACTTTTTTTTTCCTTCACGGAAGTCATCTACGGAACCTCATGTTAAATGCAGTAATAGAGATTTATTTATCTCTGATGTAAGAAAACCGAGAAAATGTCTTTAACAAAATTGAGAAATTAAATTTTAGGGAAATAAGAAAAACCCTTGGACGTCATTGCAAGAAAGTCCAAGGTTAAAAGTGTAAATGCACGCATTTTGCATTTAATTTTTCTTTGAAATTATACCGCCATTGTCATTATGATAATCTTTAAAAGAAGATATTAAAGCTTTATTTGAAAGAATACGAAATACATGTTCCCACTCGAAACATTACGCGACGGGTTCCACTAGTGGAACAGAAACTCTTTATTCTACCGGAGCACCTCAATTCGTCCCCTTTTTGACCGGGTTCGTCTTGCTCAGTATTAAGATTTATGTTATGGTTTTGAGGCCTATTGTTTGCTTTTCTTTATTCTTCTTTTGACCATTAATGTGTTGTTTATTTTCCTACCACTTATCATTTTATTTTTCTATTGACAAATCGTAATCTTTTCCCGCCATTTCAGGATCGACGCAGTCTTTATCGGTGAAAACTTTAGCAGTATTTCCTAATTTGATACTATATGCATTACCTTTTCCCATCCCTGTTTGCATGATTGGTGCCATTATTATTCGGTCCATTATTGGGACTAATTATGTTGTCACTTCCGTCGTTTAGAGTTATCCGTACTTCATTTTCTTGCACTTTGTGATAGTTTTTCAACTCTGATTCACTTTGATACATGGCATTGTCATACGCTAGGGCACCAGATTCTTCTGTTGATTTTCGTTGGTCACTTTCTGTCGCGTCCGAATAATAAGGTTCGTCTATTCTGTATTTCGCACTCATGACAGATTCCCTAAAATACATGTACTATATTAAGGAGCATGTTCTAAATTTTCCATTATTACTAAATTAAGCTACTTCGATAGACGTACATACTTTACTTATGTTATCTCATTTTCACTTATCCCATAAATCTCATTATCATAAATAATATAATATAATATATATTAAACTTCCAAAATGCCCAACATATACCAAAGGACATTAAATTTATTACCGATAAATAAACAAAAAATACAATAATATATGCAATAAAACAATCAAAATAACTGACATAAGTATAAAGAACTTATTTAAAAAAATCCTCTTCTTTAATTATTACGCTGTCTTGGAAAAACCCAACAAAAGTCGATATAACAGTCACTAAATATTTTAAATGTAAAAAAAAAATCCGAATTCTATGTCAAAATCGTCATGTTCTGAGGGATCCCTGCTGCAAGATAAAATATCTTCCCCTATATCCAACTTGCCCTCATTTTCCAGTGGCAGTCCAAGTAGTTCGCACTTCATCCCGGTCGACCTACTAAGCAGACCAATACAAATGTATGAATTGTTAATTTGTTGTAGTCCTGAAAATGCGTGAAATATTTGTCACTGGACGTAAAGGAAGCAACTATCAATTAAACAATATTTCTTTCGAGTACCTTTAAGCATTGGATCATACGAGATATATATACTGCAATCTGGTATAAAAGTACACGTGTGCTACTATACGCTTGTTGTAATAATATAGTAGCTTTGAAATATATTGTACCAAAACAACTAGTATATGAACAATAATTTTGAAGTCTAAAATAATACTTATATCACTTCACATCTTAAGTAACTTTTCAGTTCGTTAAAGTTGTTATGATAACAATGTAGCTGTCAAGTGTCTAGTCAAGACTATGGTAATATACTTATATAAAAATAAGGAGATATGGTATGATTGGCAATGAGACAACTATCCACCAAACTTCAAATGAGGTGGATGTAAGCAATTATAGGCAACCGTACGGTCACCAGCAATGAAAAAAACCCATACCGTAAAGTCGACTATATATAAAAGGCCCCCACATGAAAAATATGAAACAATTCCATTTAATTGGAAAATTAACGGCCTAAATTATAACAAAACAATTTACGAAAAACAAATATATAACCATTTTGTAGCCATTTTATAACCATTATAACCATTTTTGAAATGATTATAAGCAACTTACCTTAACAATGTACAATATCAATATAGTTCGCTATTTCTTTCTTTACGATTCTAGTTTAATTCTTACACTATACTTTTATACTCAAAAGTAACATTTTATTGACTAATTCTACCGATTTAAAAATCGTAGTTACCGTTTACTGAACATACACTGCGTTTAAAATAACCATTGAAAGTTGTGTTACTGAATTATATATCAACATGTGCGCTTAACCATTCATGTTAAAAGGTAATTTTGACGAGGATCTACATGGAAGGGGTCTTTAGTTTTAAATCTTAATGACAATTTTTCTTCATTCTTCATTTTTATTGTCCATTATTCTCTATTCGGTAAACCCAATTCAAACCTGAATTGAAAGTTTCTATTGTCCAATATTATATTAACAGATGTAGTTTAGGGTTTGATTTCACGGGTAACAAGGGTGAAATGTTCTCAGATACTAGAAACTGATCTAATATTTCATTGTGAATGAGTCTACATAGAACTTTATATGGTAAATTTAAACTGATTGTATTAATTGGATGTACATTATGCATTATGTCACGACAAAACGATCACAAATAACATCTGTTATGACTGTTTCAACTGCACAATTTTAAACTAATTTCAAACTTGACACGATTGCATATAGGGGAAATTTATGAAAACAAAACATGTAGTGTTAACGTGATTTAGACAATTATCCAACATTATAAGATGTAAAGATTTATAGATAACATTGTCAAAAGTGACGGACATGATTGCATACAGCGTGCCAAGTTCGTAGATTACATCGTTCCGACTACAAATATTTATTTATTCTTAAATTATCAGATCATTTGAAATAATTTAACTCAACCAATAAGGTGTCTCAATGTCGGCAGTTGTTTGGCGTTTAAATGTCGTCCAGTGGCAAATGTTTCAGGCACATTCAGAGTAACAATTTTTAATTTAATTCAAGTTATCAGTAGAAAACCAATACTTTCACATACATGTCCTGCGGTCTCATGTGGATAGCTCTCTCATTGGCAAATGTACGATATCTACTGACTTTTCATATGTTATCTTTCTGACGATATGGAAATATCATTAGTAAATCATAACTCATTTTATTAACGTTTTTAAAGTGGAAGCAGGATGAAACCGTTCGATAATACAAAACTAACATGCCTTATTTGGAATATAAGTTTTGGTAAATTTGGGTAATCATAGTTTATACATATATGAAAATTGTGAATATAATTTCCTCAACAACTGAAGAAACGAACCACCTCCATCAATTTATTTGAAGTAGACATTTCTATTGCAAAGCAGCATATTACTTTTTATAAGTGATTGAAATGAGTCAAAATTTTGACACAACGTTTCTGAAGTCATATACACCATATTCTGTGAAAATGAGCATTTTCTTAATTTTAATGACATCTCAAAATACATTTTTAACAAAAATAACAACAACAAAAAAAAGGTGTGGTCTATTTTCCGAAAATTTGAGGCGTTATAACTTTTCATCTAAAAACTAAAAACAACGGAAATAACTTTGGTTTGCAGTTTCTTAATGCGATTTTTGTCTAATGGACTTATCTCAGACTTTTGATTTTTGACATTCGCCACTACAATGAAAAAGTCTCTGTAAAGTCTTCATTATTTCACAGGTTATGCGAAAATATAATAAATTTTTGCAAATTTGAAGCAGAGACTAGAAATTGTGACACTGCTATATATATCATGTAAAGATGTGGTGCGTTATTTGTGTTGTTAAGTATATAATGACAGCAAATTTAATATACGTTTATTTTCTCTGAAAACAAAGAGGCTCGTAATTTGTGGTTCTACGTAATCATTTGAAAATACGGATATGTGGTACAAAACTATCCCACAGAGATCAGATACCGTAGATGTAAAGAGGTCAGATACCGTAGATGTAAAGAGGTCAGATACCGTAGATGTAAAGAGGTCAGATAACGTAGACGTAAAGAGATCAGATACAGTAGATGTAAAGAGATCAGATACCGTAGATGTAAAGAGATCAGATATCGTAGATGTAAAGAGATCAGATACCGCAGATGTACGCAACTTAAGGTCATTGGGATAAACATAAGCCCATTTTCAACTTATAAACCTGGAAAACTGCTCCTAACATACAAATTGACTTCTACATCAACATGAAAAGTATTGCAGATATAGTTTGTGTAGACCATCGCACTTCAGCGTTACCACCGTCGCACTTCGGCGTACAGAAACTATAAACAAGACAGCGTCACAATGCCACCATCGCATTTCAACGTAATCAAAAACTCACTTCAGCGTCAAACCATCGCACCTCAGCGTGACCATCGCGGTTCGGAGTACCATCGCGGTTCAGAGTCCTACAGATGTACGCAACTTAAGGTCATAGGTATAAACATAATAACCATATGGTAAAAACACTATTTTGAAACTTCGATATAAAAATTAGGAGATTTGGTATCATTGCCAATGAGACAACTATCCACCAGATTTTAAATGACGTAGATAAAATAAATTATAGGCCTTCAACAATGAGAAAAACCTATATCGTATAATCAGCCATAAAAGGCCCCGACATGAAAATGTAAAACAATTCAAACGAGAAAACTAGCGGCCTAAATTAAAACAATACAATTTACGAAAAACAAATATGACAGACATGAACAAAAGACAACCTTCTATTTCTTATATTCCACTTTGCTATGTGTACATTTCGAGTGGCATCATCGTACAAAATAATCACAAAATATAAGAAAGAAAAAAGCGTACAAGAAAATGAATTATGTCTGGTGTAAAATATATACACACGCTAATAAAAAAAGGATGGATCAAAATTTAAGCTTACCCAGCGCATTAATTGGAATAGTTTAAATGAGTTCGCCAAGAAAGAATTTGATATCTTTATAATGTAAATATCCATCAAATTTCAATATCGTTTCAACAGAACGAATTTTTGAAAATAAGAGAAATTTCACAGTGATTAAGATATTTTAATATAAACAGATATAGATACTGTGAATTTTGAAATTTTCTATCTATCTTGAAGATTAAATCTTTATTTAATTTAGAAATATGAATTATATCTTTAAATCGTAATCATAATATAATAAACTACTTAACACCCGTTTAAACTCTTCTCTCAAGGAGGGGAGACACGGGGGTGCTCATTTTTCTAAAACCCACATTTTTTGGTAATTTTCCTATTTCACCATTGTTCACACATTTTTCCGTCTTTTTCCAACATCCGTCTTTTTGATCCCCGAAATCCCACATCCCAAATATTTTCGACGTACCCCTATATCCCACATCCCCACTTTTTATCCCTAATATCTCACATTCCAAAAACGTGTCGCCAACTTTTACCACGTATAGTGTACACTAAAAGGAGTCTCATTCTGTTTATTTTGAAGATTTAAATTAAACTTCAGATTTCTAACGAAATGCTTTGTACAATACACGATATGAAACAGAAATTATCATAATCATTACATAATCAATTAAGTTTTAAAGGGAAATTGTAATGTGGAAAAAAGACGGAACTCAAAATAAATTGAAGTAGTCGGGAAGAAATTAAAGGAATATTGGATATATATAATTTTTCGTGATCACAACTTGAATGAATGTTTTCTTAAAATCATTAGTATGACCACAAACGGACTTTCTTATCAAAGTTTCCTTAAGAAAAGTTTGCATACATTAAATATGTTTTAAAGCCATTAAGAGCAAAAGTAAATACCACGTGTTTTTGTATACACACGTGCGATGTATTTTTGAATTAGAGAAGAAACTGAAAATTTTGCCTTTAGAAAATTTTGCATACATTAAATATGTTTTAAATCCACTAAGATCAAAAGTAAATATCACGTGTTTTTGTATACACAGTCACGTACAAAATATTTTTTTGAATAAACATTTTAGAGATTTTATCCATCATGTATTTTCTGATACCAGAAGAGATAACTATTTTAGAGATTTTATCTGCCTTGTTATTTTCTGATACCAAATTGTTTGAATCTTGATACTGTTGTTTTTCCCGAGGTCAAACTTTTTTAAATTAGAATTACAAAAACGTTTTTATATTTAAACAAGCGCTATGATATACACACGTTTTATACATCTACTGTTGAAAACTATATGTTGTACACTATATGTTCCATAGTTACATGTATTTCACCAATAATCATTGTTATATATATATAAATCTGATGGGTCGACCGGAATAAGGGACCGAACGTGCCCCAAAATATCATTCGTATTTTCAAACAGAACAATAATGTACACATCATATTGCCCGCCATACAGTCCCGTTGTCAATATCAAATTTTTCTTTGATCAAGAAAACATCCTTAAAGTTTTTAAAGGAATTTTGAAAGCGATCAAAAAGTTTGACGGTCAAATTTTCTTGAAACTAAGATGGACTGTGGTGTGAATTAACCAATCAGAGTCCAGTTTGGCTTAGATGCAGTTTTGTTTTTCAAAAACGATGGGCATAGAAACAACAGCGAGAAAAGAAGTTATGAACAAAGAGATTGACCCGAGTTAAACAGAAAAGACAACTTGTTACGGAAGTTGATTGATTTCGAGATTAACATAGAGTAGAGTAGAGTACCTCCAACAAACGTCTCACAGAATAATTGCATTACTCTTTCGCTATTTCTTCCGTATATTACCATTTTGAGGAGGCATGTTTTCTTTTGGACAGACAATTCTTACAATTTTTTGTCCTCAACGAAGTCAATCAATATGCAGTGAAGATAGTGTATATACAATGTAGATAGTCTCTAATTAATCTTTTTAGAATGGCTCTGATATGATTTATGATTTTATTAACTATTCATATGTTTCATAAAATAAAGAGGTTAGACTTAAATAATGTATTGTCTTGTCCTGTCTTGGAAAACTTTGGCAGGGCTTAAGTAAACACTTATAACAGAAAATTCATAATTATAGTCATTTAAATACTCTCAATATAACTTTTTTATATTCTTTGACACCTTTAATATCAACAATAACAAATAGATAACGCCCTAAATATTAGTTACATTTAAAACGGCTGAAATTAATGTAATCTTAAAAAATCAAATTTGACCTAAAATGTTTAAAGGTCGTTTGTACTCGTTTATTTTTTGTTGTTGACTTTTAATCCGTTTAAAAGTCCGTATAATAAGTGACACGATTAGAACCTTTCCAAGTCAAACCAGAGATTAGAAATAATAAGTATATATTATTGATTCTTCTTTTTCCAAAATTACTCGTCATTTAATTGTGTAAACAGTGTAGAAACAAATAGGAACAAGAGTGCACACGCTGAAATGTCTCGCCTTCTTTACTAATCATTGATATTATGTTGATAGTCCTAAATATAAAGCTTTATTACAACTGTCACATAAACTTAACATTAACCAAGTAAACTAAACATTGACCAATGAACCATGAAAATGAGGTCAAGGTCAGATGAACCATGCTAGGCAGGCATGTACAGCTAACAATTCTTCCATACAACAAATATAGTTGACCTATTGCTTATAGTTTAAGAAAAACAGACTAAAACACAAAAACTTAACACTGAGCAATGAACCTGGAAAATGAGGTCAAGGTCAAATAAAACCTGCGTGACTGCCAAATAGATCATAAAATATTTCCATACACCAAATATAGTTGAACTATTGCATATAGTATTAGAAAAAAAGACCAAAACTCAAAAAACTTAACTTTGACCACTGAACCATGAAAATGAGGTCATGGTCAGATGACACCTGCCCGCTAGACATGTACACCTTACAATCATCCATACACCAAATATAGTAGACCTATGGCATACAGTATAAGAAAAACAGACCAAAACACAAAAACTTAACTATAACCACTGAACCATGAAAATGAGGTCAAAGTCAGATGACACCTGCCAGTTGGACATGTACACCTTACAGTCCTTCCATACACCGAATATATAAAGACCTATTGCTTATAGTATCTGAGATTTGGACTTGACCACCAAAATTTAACCTTGTTCACTGATCCATAAAATGAGGTCGAGGTCAAGTGAAAACTGTCTGACGGACATGAGGACCTTGCAAGGTACGCACATACCAAATATAGTTGAACTATTGCATATAGTATTAGAAAAAAAGACCAAAACTCAAAAACTTAACTTTGACCACTGAACCATGAAAATGAGGTCAAGGTCAGATGACACCTGCCCGCTAGACATGTACACCTTACAACCATTCCATACACCAAATAAAGTAGACCTATGGCATACAGTATAAGAAAAACAGACCAAAACACAAAATCTTAACTATAACCACTGAACCATGAAAATGAGGTCAAGGTCAGATGACACCTGCCAGTTGGACATGTACACCTTACAGTCCTTCCATACACCGAATATTCAAGACCTATTGCTTATAGTATCTGAGATATGGACTTGACCACCAAAACTTAACCTTGTTCACTGATCCATAAAATGAGGTCGAGGTCAAGTGAAAACTGTCTGACGGGCATGAGGACCTTGCAAGGTACGCACATACCAAATATAGTTGAACTATTGCATATAGTATTAGAAAAAAAGACCAAAACTCAAAAACTTAACTTTGACCACTGAACCATGAAAATGAGGTCAAGGTCAGATGACACCTGCCCGCTAGACATGTACACCTTACAATCATTCAATACACCAAATAAAGTAGACCTATGGCATACAGTATAAGAAAAACAGACCAAAACACAAAAACTTAACTATAACCACTGAACCATGAAAATGAGGTCAAGGTCAGATGACACCTGCCAGTTGGACATGTACACCTTACAGTCCTTCCATACACCGAATATACAAGACCTATTGCTTATAGTATCTGAGATATGGACTTGACCACCAAAACTTAACCTTGTTCACTGATCCATGAAATGAGGTTGAGGTCAAGTGAAAACTGTCTGACGGGCATGAGGACCTTGTAAGGTAAGCACATACCAAATATAGTTATCCTATTACTTATAATAAGAGAGAATCTAACATTACAAAAAATCTGAACTTTTTTTTCAAGTAGTCACTGAACCATGAAAATGAGGTCAAGGACATTGGACATGTGACTGACGGAAACTTCGTAACATGAGGCATCCATATACAAAGTATGAAGCATCCAGACCTTCCACCTTCTAAAATATAAAGCTTTTAAGAAGTAAGCTAACGCCGCCGCCGTAGCCGCCGCCGCCGCCGCCGTAGCCGCCGCCGGATCACTATCCCTATGTCGAGCTTTCTGCGACAAAAGTCGCAGGCTCGACAAAAAGTAAAATAACAAAAATACCGAACTCCAAGGAAAATTCAAAACGGAAAGTCCGTTAACAAATGGCAAAATCAAATTCTCAAACACATCAAATGAATGGAAAACAACTGTCATATTCCCGACTTGGTAAAGGCATTTCCTTATGTAGAAAATGGTGGTTTAAACATGGTTTTATAGATAGCTAAACCTCTCACTTGTACATGTATGACAGTCGCATAAAATTCCATTATATTGACAGCAATGTGTGAGCAACACAGACATAATAAGTAAAAATGTCAAAAATTGGGGTTCAGCAGACAATATTATGGGAAAACATTCTGCTACAGTTGACTGCACGAATGACCATGATGTACTTAGCTCTTAAACATAATTGTGTGAGGTTATGGTGTCCATTTTGTACCTTACGAAAAGGTCAACCAGTACCTTTGAAGAAGCAATCCAAAATCATTATTTGATAATAATTTTGTTATTTTCTAGCGAGACAAATATAAAAATAACGAGCTGCGGTATAATTGTAAATGAGACAGCTATATCCCACCGAGACCACAGGACGAGGATGTATACAATAGTGAGCAAAAACGTATTAAAACAAAGCCGATTAAAGAATGACCAAATATGTTTTTTTTCACAAAATAACCTTATTTCAGCAGGATTTCCAGATGTTATAAAAAAAAACGTCAGAAATAAGACTGTTCATGATAAAAATAGAGTCGATCATGTTTAAAATTTGAAACAAATAGTCCATCGAATACAAAGCACCATTCATATTAACATAAACATATTGTCGTTCTTGATATGGTCCGGAAAAGGTCAGATTAAGAAAATTCCACCAATTTACTCAAATAAAGTCAATACACATCCAAAAACATCTATGTATGCACATTTTTGTCTATTTCCATTTTCAAGTATGTTGCATGTAACCTGTATTTATATCTGGATCATTTCTTTTTTGAACCGGTTTTTAAATAATTTGTAGACAAACTTGTCAAAAGAAAACGTATTGCTATTTAATTTTTCTAAATTTATAACACATTCTCCACGAAAAAAATATTGATATCCTTTAAATGCTTGAGAAGAAAATAATGTTTTATATAATCAGTTTTTCAATATTGTATTAATTATTCTTAAAGATATGCAAACTTACCGAAAAATAATATGAATAGGAATAGATCTATCTAGGGATGTAATTAGTATAATCCAATAGTACAATCAAGAAAGACGAATTCATATTCTTTAAACACCCGTCATAAATATTTACAATTTAAATATACGTGCAGATACGGTATATAAATTAACCCTAATGTGTAATGATGCGTGCAATAATACAAACATTTAAAACTATTTAAAGTCCATTCATTCGATCCTAAGGCCAAGTTTAAGGTTCATCAGAAGGAATTGAAAAATATGACTGTGTTAACACCACAAATTTTACTCAGAGTACAGATAAACCTGTGCACCTGAAAAAGTTTTAAAGCATGACAGGAACTAGGTAAGAGAAATTTGAATGCATTTTATGTTTCAGAAAATTAAACACTTACCTGGAATTTGAGATTCCTTTTTTTTAAGCCTACAGAAGGTGATAAAATAAACAAACACCTGAGTTTCATTTGATATGGTCCACTCATTTACACAGTTTAAATCAGATATCTATTGTCCATCTATTGTCCAGTAAATCAATACAATTCACTTCAATTATTTACAAAGGGGAACATCTTAAACATTTTCCAAACTTAGTTTATTTTGGCACCTTCTGTTGGAACGGAAAAAAAAAGGATTCTCAAAATTCCGAAAAGGTTATAATGTTCTGAAACATAAAATGCATTTAAATTTGGTTATCTTGTTCCTGTCATGCCTTAAAACTTTTCCATGTGCACAGGTTTGTCTGTACTCACAGTAAAATTTGTGGTGTATTACGGCCATATTAGCCAAAAGGTTATAATGAACCTTAATATACAATGGCACTAAAAGTATAATGACTTTAGATTTAGCGATGTACGTACATGTATGTGCACATGTATGGGGGTCTGGATAGGGTTTACAGATTAGAAAATAATGGACACAAGGTGCAAAATAAGGGGGAAAAATTAAAGAATAGAGAATAATGGGGTGCTAAAATATAAAGAATAGAGAATAATGAGCAAATTTATAAAGAATAGAGAAAATGGCTTAACAATTTGAAAAATATAGAATCGAGGAACCCTCACCCAAACCCTCGTGTATGACATATTAAAAAAAATACAGGATTCCAAGTATTGATGGGTTGGTGTTTAACGTCCATTGCAATCAATATAATTATATATTATAAATAAGAAGATGCGGTATGAGTGCCAATGAGACAACTATCCATCCAAGTCACAATGTGTAAAAAGTAAACAATTATAGGCCAAAGAACGGCCTTCATATCATATCTAGACGAGATCGTGTTGATATAATGTTAAAAATATAAACTCTGATTTGTATTAGAATGACAGCTGGGTTGATGTTTGACATGCTAATTAAAAAAAACAGTTCGCATGGAGTCTTGTCGCCCTACCAGGACACATTATTCTGGCTCCGAGTCCACTAGTCTATACTTTTACTCTTAAAGTTCTTAGTGGAGACCACTGGACGTTAGTCAACCAACAACCAATCAATCAATCTTAGCGGAGAAGCGGCAAATACCATTGTTTGTCTGGTTTGACGCGGCTGGGAATCGAATCCATGACCTCCTGCACTCGAGGCGAGTAGGCTGAAAATGTATGACTGTCTCATTTTTTAATTGTAAATTCGACTACAATATATCAGTGATCATCAATGTAGATGCAAATTGACTTTAACTTCTAAAATTTTTAAAATTTAATTTACAACATACTTACCGACCAATTTACTTCCTCCAACTCAATTTTCATATACATGCACATTTAACAATTTATCATTGTTCAAAATCAAATTACCTCAGTATTTTAAATTCAATGGTTGCTTTGTTTTGAAAAAAAATTAATTTTCTATTTTTATTTGACTTCAAGTTCAATTAAAGTAGTAACTCCCTCACTATTGAACTGTTATGTTAGAATGTCTGTTTTCTGAAAATAACATACTATCTTACAAAGCTTTATTGTAATTTCGTCGACAAATGGTTCATTTAATTATAATGCACTTATTTCCTCCTCCAAAAGAAAACAAAAAGAAGTAGACAGAAATTAAAAAAAAACATTGATTGCAATCAATAATCATAGTTTTCGCAGGGGTGGGGCGTACTTTGCCTTTGAATGTGGCCTCCCTAGTGAGGTCATTCAAGCTCAAGGTGACTGGCGTAGCGATGCCTACAAGTCATATATAGACCTATCTCTATCATACCGTCAGCAGGTAATGTAGGCTTTTACTGCGGCCTTCACAAAACCCTCTTAATATCTCTAACACACTACTTCTATACAGGTTTGGATAAATTGTTGAGTACCACAGTTTTACTGATCTATGTATTTTTTTTCTTTTGCCTATATTTTGCTATTATATGTTTGCATCTAATTGGAATTTATAATCAAACTGTGGATTACTTGGCTCAGGTTTTGTAGTTCGTCTTTTAGCCTTTTTTCTCTCTCTTGGGTGCTGTTTGGATTCCTTCGACTTATCGTTTTTGACTGCCTCTCTGCATCTTCTCGTCTTCTTTTTTTAATTTTCAAACTAAAAAAATTATATAAAACATGATTTTTATTTGTCAGTAAACAAAATGAAAAAGAGGCGGAAGATATTTATACCAAAAAGTAAGCACGAAGAAATACCGACAATATCATGGTAAAAAAAAAGAAAACACATACACAAAAAGACAAAAATAAAAAAAAAAATAGTCTTACAAACTTTACATAAAAAAGTTTTCGGAATTTAATGCAGGCCGTTAGTTTTTCTCGTTTGAATTGTTTTACGTTTGTCATTTCAAAGCCGTTTTTAGCTTGCTATGCGGTATGGGTTTTGCTCATTGTTGAAGGACGTACGGTGACCTATAGCTGCTAACTGCTACGTCATTTAGTCTCTGGTGGAGAGTTTTCTCATTGGCAATCATACCACATCTTCTTATTTTTTTATAATGAAATAAACTTGTCTGATAAATTATATATTTTGTAAACACCTCTATTTCAATATTACATCTAACTTTCTAAGAAAAATGAAAAATCTGATAATAATAATTGCTTTATTTAAAAATGACAGAGGGATTACCAGTATAGCAGCTTAGACTACATCTATACCTAACACTCCAACTCCTCAATACGTGACGTAGTTATCGGATACACGCACTTTTATGGGTACTAAATAAAAGAAAATGCCTATTCTGGTGTGGAATATTCTCCATCTACCAACCTCAATCAGTAACTTTAAGTTTGAGCATCTGCATCTATAAAGGGTGTGACAAAACCTATTGTTGGATGACATCAGATGGGTGAAATTATCGAGTTTTATTTCATATTTGAAATGAATATATCCGTTTTATTTGACTATCAAATCACGGTGTTGCTTAGTTTAAGTAGATCATGAAAGAAAAAGAAAAACTGAAATTTTCCGACAAAATAGGTTCTGTAATTGTTTTTTGAAATTATTCACTTTCTAGTTGAGTGTATAGATTGTTCGAATGTTTTAGTTTTTATCGAAATATGAATAATAAGTTATTTATACAATATGCATACATGCTTGACAGAAAATATAAAATTTATTCGTACCAGCTTTAGAAACTTGAAAAAAACGCGGCTTTCCAAGCTTTTCTCCTGTTTCGTAGCTAGGACATATACATTATATATTTTCCGACAATGCTTGTATATTGTTTTTATCGTGCAGTTTAGCATTGACCTTTAAAATGTTCATTTTTTTTTTAAATTTCCAGTCGTTTAATAAAGAAAAAGACATTGCTTAGACGCGGACTGCGAAGAGGACATCGAACAGAACTGTGACGTTGACAGTTATCTGGATGTATATATCCGTTCGCTCTCAACAGAAGCAGGACACTATGAGACTATACCATTTCAGATTTCTGTAAAACTGTATTTGTACAGTGAAATTGTCAATTTCACGATAAAAATAATTTTGTTAGTCCTCTGTAATAGATAACACCTAGGTTAGATCAAATGACAACTGTGAGACATGTGTTATGAGAGTGTGGATGGGATCCTTTCTGTTTTCCCTATTTTTTTTGTCCACTTCTCTCTATTCTTTATATTTTTGGCCCATTATTCTCTATTCTTTATATTTTTGGCCCATTATTCTCTATTCTTTATATTTTTGGCCCATTATTCTCTATTCTTTATATTTTTGGCCCATTATTCTCTATTCTTTATATTTTTGGTCCATTATTCTCTATTCTTTATATTTTTGGCCCATTATTCTCTATTCTTTATATTTTTGGCCCATTATTCTCTATTCTTTATATTTAAGTACTCACATATTCTTTATTCTTTATTTTTTTTTTTGTGCCCATTATTCTCTATTCTGTAAACCTATCCAGACTCTCTCTTGATCCTGAACGTGGATGCTTCGTTTTGATTTTCATTATGTATATTAAGGGAATAACTTAATGTTGAATATAACAAATTAAAATATTAAGTGTTCGTTGAGAAATTTTCAATGTCAGAATGATGGCGAATAAAAGACAGAATCGGGTACGGTCTTTCAGTCAGCAACATATATAACAACACAAAAAGCCTGAGGTCAACATGTGATTCTCAACAATAGAAAAGAGTTGGCAGCATATAAAAGTTCTAAATTGTCCTAAGACTACAATAGTTGAGGGTTTTGGTTTTTTATTTTTTTATTTTTTTTTTTTTTGGGGGGGGGGGGGTCTTCATATAGGTGGGAATGCATCTAACTGAGAATATAAAAGATGTGTCATTAAAATCATATTCCCAAAATGACAAAAATATTAAAGGCGTAAACACATGTTTTCTAGAACTTTAGTTACGCTTCAGTTTTAGCATGTTTAGATGTTTAGTTTTGTAGTGCTTTGCATGTATTTCAATATGCCTGAGTTGTATCTATGCATTTTAATACATGAAATGCGTTTGATAGAAACCGAATTTATGCAAGTGCACGTATGTACATGTATACCATTTTGATTGATTTTGAAACATTCAAATACGAAATAAAAGATGAATTTTGGTCTGTTTTGAAGGGTTCTTTTAACAACTCAATTTTCAAACAGTTACAGATATTCCGTAGAGATTTTATGCTGCTTATATATCTTATCTGCATGGTTTCTATATTAATGTTATGTATATGTTATGTATATTCCCAAGAACTTTTGTTTGTGCGGTTAAATGTAAA